AGAAGAAGAAGAAGAAGAAGAAGAAGAAGAAGAAGAAGAAGAAGAAGAAGAAGAAGAAGAAGAAGAAGAAGAAGAAGAAGAAGAAGAAGAAGAAGCTGGCAACATACAATCATAGAGCTGATAAGGAAAACAAATAATGACAAAAGGGCTTGTGGAACGTACAGAGGAAATGTCGCTTCTTCGTCATGTGAACTCATGTGGGCAAAATGTTCGCTAAGTTCTCGGAGCAAAGAAAGCGACTAATCATGGAAGTACAATTGAGAGGAGACCAGTTCAGATTCAGGAGCTGCAGACTGAAGATTGGACAGGAAATTGAAAAATTTTCACCACTATTCTCATCAATAAACACCTACCAATAGAAGTAGGCTAAAAAGACAGTTTATCAACAACATAATTATTCCTTCCAACACTGCCAGGCAAGGCGGCTAAATAAGGCTATAAAAAGGAAGATCATTTCCTGTGAGAGGAAATGCCTCAAAAAAATGAATTAACGTCACTTGGAACTGGAAAGACTGCAGAAGGAACGAAACTACTCAAAGGAATGAAACCGGTCGTGGAACAGATAGAACATCAAATAATCAAGTGGTTTGGTCATACATGTATTATGAGAATGCCTCAAAGTCAACCAGCTGCACGAGCACACACCTCAAAAGAGCAAGGGCAACGGCAGACATGCAAAACTTGGTTGGGTGGCGTTAAAGAGGTACTCCTTAAGAACAACATATCAACAATAGAAGCCATCTGGCCCTTGACCCAAAATTGCGTCTGCCCTCGACACCTAACGATGCAAGAGGAGAGATAAAGTTTAAAAAAAAAGAAAAATATTGATTTTGTACTTACTTTCACATCCGTGAGAGACTGCCACGAGCAGCGCAAGGCAAGCAACAACACAATGCAGTTTCATGATGAGCCTTAGTGTATTACACGCCTTTGTCTGGTATGGAGAAAGCGAGTGAACGGCTGTCAGCGACACTTGCAAGAAGGCAGTATAACTCGTCGCAGAATGCGCCGTGTTTTATAAGCAGAATCAGCGATGCAAAAATAGTATATTTCAGAAAATTAAAATTTACTGCCAGTTTCAGTCTCCGCCAAGTACGGGTTACGCAGTTATGGAGCACAATAAGTCGGAAGCAGGTGCAGTTGTGTCTCCTTTGTAAGGAATGATTTTAAATGCCAACGATAAAACCAGGCAAGTAATGAAAGGGTGGAAATAAGTAGAATCAGCAGTTTTTGGTTTTCTATCGAATTGAAATTTGGTTAATGGTTGGTACCTTTACTCCGACACAAGCGATTAGACAAGATGTTTAAAATTGTGTACTAAAGATGAGTCATAATGTTCATTTCTCTCTAGCAGAAAAACAAAAGAGGAGAGCTTTATGAAAGCCATAGATTTTTTTTTCCTTTCTAGTTGAAAAAATTATTCTTTTCATCTTAAAGTTGCAATTCGGTTCAGATGCGGTATGTGATTTAAACGACTATCCTGTTTTGCTCTCGTAATTTATCCCCCCCCCCCCAGGGGCGGACTGGGTCTTAAAACCGGCCCCGGCATATGTCATCCATACCGGCCCACTAAGGCCCAGTAAAACACGCAAAGCCAACATGGGGGGCTCTCGTGGCCTAGAGGTTAAGGTGTTGGCCTCTCATTCAAAGGTCCCGGGTTCGAATCCGGGTAGCGACCGAAAAATTGTTCTTCTCTAAAATTG